ATACAAGTGATTTAGTTTATTGCTAATGACTAAATGTGCTTAAATTGTAATATTATTTTTAGTTAAGTGTTAGAAAAACAAGTACGTTTCCATTCGTTGTCTTGGCTTTAACACTAACAGGTATGAAAAATTTGACCTCATATACTGTGAAGTCTTGTAATTCATTGCGGATAAGTCAATGCATTGAAGTACCGACCATAGTAACTTACATTATTTACTGTTACTGGTTTGTGACTAGAAAAGAAACCTTAGCATGGTCAGCTGAAGTTTCGCATAACCTGTTGGCACCGCTCACAAATCAACTACAGCTGTGCTGATATGTTAAGGTACTTAGCCAGTTTATATTACCCGTACCTTACCTTACCTTACCATTAATGGACTCTATCTTACCTTACTTGTTTTCTGTTCTTGGCAAATCGCTTATAAGCTACACTTATTCACATAACACGTTTGCAACGGTTTTTTTTACTACAAATTGGCGTTACTAATTTTTTTTTCAACACGTTATTACCTCGTTCGATGGACGTTTTTGTTTGGAACGGTTTCAGAGTATCTTTTGTACTTTTACACCGGAAAACCACTGATCAAATGTTTTGTCTTGTAAGATAATATAAAGCTTAGTTAGCTTAGTTAGTCAATTTGTCAAAATAAAATTATTATTTTAAATTATTTAAACAAAATGTCAAAAATTTTGAAAATTTTATTTACTTTTTTTAAGTTTTGGTATTTAATCGATTAAAAGCTAAAGGGTGAGCAAATTCTGATAAGAACATTTTTTTTTTGCGCTTCATGTTTTCATGATTTAACCTTTAGCTTTATAGTATATATATTAAATTTTATTGTATTTTATTTTTTTTTTATTTCGATTAACATTTTTTAAATTCTAACTTTAAAAATCTAATATACGAACGCATATTTGCTAACAAGAGAACGCTAAGCCGCAATGTGCTGCGCTGCTGTACTACTTTAGTGCTTCTGTCAATGGCTCCTGACATTGTTTACACACAGCAAAACGGATTTTCTTTAGAATTATTTCATCTTGTATCTTTTAGTTTTTATGAGCTTCAGATATTTAAAGCACAGTTGCCGTGGCTCGTGTACTGATTCTCATATTCACGGTTTCATGCAACTATTCAAATTTTACTTTTCGCTTTGAGTATTTCCCCTTCTACCAGTTGCACGTGGTTCGTTAATGCTTTATATGCTAATGAGAAAGTTTTCATTCAACGAAAGTTAAAAATTGTTAACATACATGCATATAACAACAACAACAACAACATAATGTGGTAGATACAAAGATATTTAAAAATTGATATACTTTCAAGTGCTACAAATTCTTTGTGCCATCATAAAAAAAAAATTTATTTTTTTTGGATTTTTTTGTTTATATGATAAATGTTTTTTTAAGTTTATATTAATTTGTTAAACACGTTCATGGACTCACGAGCATTGTTGATTTGTCTGATAAATTCATGAAATATAGTATATAATTTTTTAACTTCTTTTATTATTGATGTTAAGTGAAATTCTTTAGAGCAAACGCCGCTTTCCTATTTAAAACTATCTAAACTATTATGACTGCTTATCAAATTTTTTATTATTTTTTTTATAAAGAATTTGATTAATTTTTTTTTTTAAATTAACTTTTTGGTAATTAAGTAAAAGTTTAAAATTGACAAAAAATTATAATTATTTTTATTTAGCATTTTAAATCATCGGGGGTCAGTGCCCGAATGTTAGTCTGATATGGTTTAAGATAAAGTACATAAATACTAAAATTTTAGTATTTTATTTTACTTCCTATAATAAATTATATACTGTAGTCATATTGCAAACTAGATAGTCGATCTTATTCGACAATTAATCTACATGCCTTACTCGGCTTAATAGAAAAGATTTAGTAGAGCTTAGTTATGCTCAGTATAAAGACAAGAATTTGTGTTAACAAATTCTTCATTGTATCATTAACCTTTTAATATATTATTTTACTGATATTACAGTGCATAAGTGTGTGTACATAAGAGTAAAATCACCAGAGACCACTAAACCACCTCTAAGGAATGAATGGAAAAAATTTCCACAGCTTTGTGAAAATGAGAAAAAAATAATAGAATTAGTACTTACCGAGCTTGATTTGACTAAGACTTATCTAAAATGACCAAAAATTATTTGTGGCTTCTTATATGCAAGCAAGAAAAACTTATAATCAACATAGGAATCCTAATAGGGCACTATAAACTAAAATACCACCTTACGAGACTGGGTATACTTATGGATGCAAACTGTAGATTCTGTGAAGAGAATATTCACATGTGTGTATACACGGAATAGGCTCCTGGATATTCTTACGGAAGAGGCAATAAAACTCTGTAAAGTAGGTTCTTTACTACTCTTCATTGAAGCAACATGGCTGAGAGACCTACTCTAACCCCAGAAGGGAGCACAATAGATTCAAGGGTTGTAATACCACATCCCCTAACAACAATAACATATGCAAGCAGTGACGTATTTAGGAGAAATTCAACAAAATACATTTCCCTTGACAGTGAATCTAAAGCAACTAAAACTATACACTTCTGATATTTATTTTCTTATTTATTTTAATTATTTAAATTAATATTTCACATTTACATTTATCGAATCTGTTTTGTATATATTAATAAAGAATTTTTATTAGTTTTCATAGATTTTTTATAGATTTCATAGATTTTTTATAGATTTTTATAGATTTTATAGATTTGTAGAGTTAAGTACAATAATCTAGCATTTATAGCACTCAAACATAGTTCTCAATATAACTACAATATACATTGTAATATTCATATATCTATTTTATGACTACTAGCTAACAAGTCTTTTGACTCTAAAACAAAAAGTTAAATATGAAAGTTTAGTTTAAATGTTTTTGTTCAAGTTACAAAGTTTAATTAAATTATTAAAATTATTAATATGTGATTTGAACATAATATGCAATAACCTAGAAGGTAATACTAAATATTGAACATTAATATATATAACATATATTTGTTTTTGTATTTTAATATTATTATTAACTGGAAATTTTGTTAATTAAATGAAACATTGGAGAAAATTGTTAACCTTTAAATATAACTATTAAAAGTGAAATTAAAAGAAGTGCTGAAACAGTTGGTTTCGGTTTTTGAGAAAGGAGTGTATATAAATAAAGTTTTTGAAAATAATACCAACAATAACTGCTGCTAAAACTTATTATAAATAATTATTATAAATCTTTAAAAAAAATAGTTTCTAGTAGATCCTTTCGAGGAGCAATCCTATTACTGTTTATTAGAATGAACTGGGAAAGAATGTCGGCGAAGAATAGTACCTAGTATATTCCCCCTTGGCACAATTCGCTAACTGTTGTTGATGTTTAGCGAACTGGGAAAGAACTATTATATTCCCCCATTTTCACAATCCTTTATCTCTTATTATAATTAATTCATTAAACTATAAAAAAAACTTTCACAAAAAATATTTTCTAATATACGGCCCCATGTCAAAATATTTTATCTTGTGTTAGAATTAATTTATATATTACTATAATGTAACTCTTATTAAAAAGAAATATAATCTAGTGTATTATACAACCTCTCTTCGCACAATTTTGGCTAGGTCACTGAAGAAGGGGTTGACTATTTGTGGTTGCGAAAGTCAATACATCTAAAACACATACGTTTTTGAGATTTTGATCAAATTTATATATTAATATATTATTTAGAGATTGCTACTAGGTGTGTGAAATACATCATACAAATATCTTTCACGTGAGATCTTAAATCCTTTTGAGATTATTTTCGTTGACGTGTCTGAATATAGCTAGCAATATTTTGGCCATAACTTAACGGATGTTTATTAAGATATTTCAATAAGTCGAATGTTTGTGGATTGTTCGCATAAACACGATCCTTTGTGTGACCACGTAAAACATAGTTCAATCGTGACAAATTGTCTAGCCTAGGAAATTTTTCCCGCAATAAATGCGAAACAGATCGTTTTCTGTGGTTTGTGGCACTGTCCTATTAAAATCACATAGTTTCCACATTCACATTTTCAATTTCGCACTAAAATAACTTGGTAATAATTTTGTAACATTTAAAATTGACAGCTTGTGCCATAGTTTCGCCGTTGTCTAAAAAATACCGCCTATCATACCTCTGGACAGTTTCTTCTGAATTTTTAATGTATAAAATACAACAACTATGTTTGTTGATATAGTAACCGAGCGAAAACTGAGACCCATAAACGAAGAAAAATAGTGGTAAAGAACAATCCACCTTATGGTGGAATACTGCCAAAAATGGAATATTAAAATTAACAATGATAAAACCAAGGCTATATTCATAACACGACAGAGAATTCGGCATCTTCCAGGAGTGAGCATCAGTGGCACGGAGGTACGGTGGGAGGAAACCATATAATATAACATAACATACAGTAAAGCCTCAAATACTGCCATAAAGCAATTACAGATAGCACAAAATCTGGCTTTAAGAAGACTAATTAAGATTCCTTGGTATATTAGAACAACAAACATGCATAGAGATCTAAGGATTGACTCAGTGAAAAAATATATCAACGATAGAGTCCTAAATTTATTTACAAAAGTCGATGCGTTGCCCAACCCCGCCCTAACAAACCTTAAGTCCACCTCAGGACGCAAAGGAAGATATGCTGATCTACGGTCCGTCAGCAGTTAAAAGATAAATAAATGATAATAATTCTAGTATAGTTAAAGCTTAGTGTGGGGCACAGATAAGCCTTCTAGTCACAAAAGAGTAAAAGTGCGCAATAGTACTAACTCAAACCACAACAACAACAACAACAACAAAAGTAAAATATAGTAAAAAAAATAGGTCCTGACATTATGTTCCAATATTCATAGTATTACAATTTTTAAGTAATAAATAATTATTTCTTATATGACACATTATAGTATGAATAAATAATTAATATAAATGTTTATATTTTTTTGATTTCAGACTAAACGCAAATAAAATAATTCTCTGGCAAGATGACGACTGACTGTGGGACTTGGATAAGCAAATACATGCTTTGTTTATTTAATTTTATATTTTTTGTAAGTATTTATATTATAATAATATAATATGATGCTCTATATTATAACAAATAATTGACAGATAATTAAATCTGTCAATTATTATTAAAGTAATAAATAATAATAAATATCGGTGTAAACTATAAGAATTACCGGTGCGCAAGATAAGATACTTTCGTCTTTATGTTTTTTTATTTTATTGATAAGATATTGGTACCGCTTCTTTGAAAACATATTAAATATTTTACCGACGTGCAGTACGTTTTGAGTTGAGAAACACTGGTCTAAACGATTATTTCTACATTTTAGACGTATTAGACAATAATAGAGAATAATTAAAAATAACCTATAAAATGTAAAAATAAAAAATAAATATTAAAATAAAAACACAACTATGTGATGTTATACAAGTAAAAGGAATAAAAAAAATTATTAGTTAATTCATTGTCTGGATTTGAATAATTTTTATGCATTGTGAGCAAACGTGTTAACTCATAGATTTTTTTAAATTTAGTTTCGACTTCATGTTCATTGACTTTCATTGTTATTGCGGTCAAAAAAATGTTTTATTAAGTTTACTACTCATCTACAGATTTGAAAGCATGTTTTTAATTAATTAATCGTTTTATCTTTTTTTTTTATAAATTTGATTTATAAATTTTAATTACTTAATTGCTTGCTTTTTCAGGTACTTGGAACGATTATGCTCGGCGTCGGTATATGGTTATGTATTGATAAAGCTTCTCTAATTGTGCTACTCAAACTGGTCGAAGGGAAACATATCAATGTAAGTGAAAAATTTAATTAATTACATTTTTCTTTATCTTCATAAACAAATAATTTGTTATTTGTTTGTGCAATTAATTTTCTGCATAAATATTTTGTAATGGGTAGTTTTGTATCTTAATTGAAGTATTTACTTTGTTTTCCTGAATGTAGAATTTTAAATTAATTTTAAAAAGACATCCATATATATATATAATTACAAATTCATTGCAACCTCTGCTACTCGATTATGAATCCCTACATTAGGAAATCTACTGAAATAATATTGTGGAATATTAAAATTTGGCTCTACAAGTTTCGGACAACTGTACTGCGATATTGTAAATATACCATCTTCTATTCAATTTGAATTTGATTCTCATTAAAGAGTACTACCTTCTTCTATTTAAGATAGAAGTAAATAAGTAAAGTAAATGTAAAGTAAAGTCATTTATTCCTGTTATATATCTTTGACTCATATCTTCGATTTATCAATAAATTAAAAACTATTTTTTAATAGATTATGCCTGGTAATTTATTATCAAACCCAGTATGCCCACTGACAGCAGGACGATCAGACAATATACCCAACAACAAAAAAAACGGATATATAAAAATAGGTTACAAAAATCTGAGGCTATCACGCCTTCACATCGATTCCGGACTATATTTGTTGCAACTGAATGCTCAACTGATTTTCTTTTGATACTTCCATTAATAACTGTTTTGACTCAACTAAGTTAGGGTCAATTCATATGGTAAACCGCTAAACTGTTGCTTTGTACTTCATTATGTTATATATCTGTTCACTTGTTCTATGATATACACAAATCTGAAATCCAATTGAAAAATATCCTATTGGTGTTGTTAAGCTTCTAAACCTTAACACAAGTTAATCTAAATCTTCATATTCTCAGTTTCTACAACTAATACAAGTTATTCTATTCATTCTTTTTCCTTACCTTATTCTTTGTTCCAAAATTTTTCATTTATTCTCTAAATCTCTCTATACTTTTTTTCGTCCTATTCTTCCTTAATATCGTATTCTTTAGTCTCAAGTCTTTCTTTCTATCCTTACGCTTCCTAAGCTCCTTAACGTTCATACAGATAAGAGTAGATTTCCTTACGTTCTTCCTTCACCCCATCCTTTCCCTTTACCTTATATTTTGTCCCAATCCTTTCCTTTTATGCTGATAACCCATAAGTTTTTAAGCTTTTTTATAGACTAAATAGACTAAATGTCTTCATAATCTTCTTTCACCCCCATCCTTCCTCATTACGTTATTCACTGTTCCAAATCATTCCCTTTCAGCCTTATTCTTCTTTATATGGTTGACTGAAGAGCGGGCGCACTTTCTTCGTATTAAGACTTGCCAAATCGATTATAACAACAACTGTAGTGCAGGGGTGAAATATTGGAAATTATTTATAGTAGTTTATTATATTATTTTGAATTTAATGTAATAACATTTAAATTAGAATGTTGTTAGATAATTAATTAAATACTTGTATGCCATTACCATAATAATACCATATATTATTATTGTGTCATTCATAATTGTAATAAAACTTATATGTTTTTCAGGAAATCGATCATTTAATCAAGAAAGAAGTTTTCCTCAAAATTCAAGAAGTTTTTTTTCATGTAATTTTATTTTGTTCATTTATTTGGTTGCTTTATATTATTAAATTAAATTTATACTATTAAATTGTATAAAAAAATTACTTAGATTTCTTGTAATTTTTTATTATAGAAAACAAAATATAAAACTTTTTAATGTAAGCAATGTTTTATAATACATTCGTCTAGCTTACATGTTTCAAACACGAAATGTCCTTTGTAACACTTATTTAGTTCCGTGCGATAGAATAAAGTCTGATAGAAAAGTTTTGATTGTACACCATAACATTTTATGTCCTGAAATATGTACTACATGTAGCATGTCCATAAGTACTCAACACGTTTCTAATACATAAACAATTCAAATAACACCCTTTCAGTGACATTTGAACAAATGGTTCGTTATTAATTTACATCAAAAAATGGAGCTATACATTAAAATATAAACTAATTTCAGTTAATTTGAAATGCATTTTTATTGCATTTGAACATAGAACCTAAAAATAACAACAATAACAATCCAAAATAACAAAATTATTAACGGTCATCGAACCCCTGAATAGGACATTGTTTAGATATTTCGTTCATTTACGTCCTTAAAAGGAATAATAGCGTTAATATTTAAAATTCAGCAATTATAGTTATAAGTTAAATTAATTAGTCTTATTATTACGACTATAATTAAATTCATTACTACAATGTATGGCCACGAGTTCATATATATCATGTGTTCAATTATTATTTTATGCAATGAAAATTAAATTTCTTTCACTGTAATATACTATTATATTTATTGATTACAAAAAAATTATTTTTTCTTTATTATTATACTAATACAAATATTGGCAATATAAATAAAGTTAATATTTTTAAAATTATAGATAAACAAATTATTGAAAGAGTCCCAAATAACAATCAACTTAATAATCCTCTTTCAATAATTCATTCATACAAATAATAACCCAAATATTCCTTTTAATATAATTCATCTATCAATGCTAAAGTATTTCTGAGTTTTGTATTTTTAAAACACAGATCTAGATACTAGATACAGACATCTAGATACATAGACATCTGATGTCAAGTTTATTTTAGTAAGAAAATATTGTACTATAGATATCAGAACAATCTATAATATGAGGTAACAATATGCACAATGTATTTATTTAGATGCTTTCTGGTTTTTAATATAATTAAAGAGTTTACGATGCAGCTTTACACTACATGTGTGTATTTATCATAACCTCTCAATTAAAATATTTTAATTTATACCGGGTCACGAAGGATGTGGTCTATTGTTGTAATCACCAAATACCTTTAATTGCTTATACCATTGAACAATTTTCCTTGGTATTAAATCCGACCTCGACCTTTAAATATTTTGTTTAAACTACAATAATTGCTACAAATTAAGTTTCTTAATCAATCCATTTGCCATATAAGAGGAACCTGAAATAATGAGTTAGACTCTAAACAATTTAACCAATCAAAATTTCTCATTTTTTGTCCACAAAGCCGACTTTGTCACAGTTTGTAGGGTTGTATAACTTCAGAAGACTCACTTAAGGGTTTAGAAAAATATTTGTATGAAAACATATAATTTATAAAAAAAAATTTATTATATCCCGTAAAAATTTGTTTAAAACAATTTTAGAGTGGTTTGAACCTCAAAACCCTTCTTGTATTTGTTTACTCCACTCATTATTGTATCACATACCTATTTATAATTATTAATCACCTATTACCATAGGCTTCAAAAACAGTTTAATGCAGCTTATTTAAATAGTAATTAAGTCCACTTATATTGTTTGATTCAGTTCATGAGATAAGGTTTCTATAATAGAATTCGAGTTTGAAATATTGCGTGGTTTTAGTTTCAGTCCGTTAGACGATTCTCATGCATATTGTTTGTGACCTTCCTTCCTTTAATATTTGAGGTTAAGTCTAATCTTTCAAGAATTTTAAGTAAAAAATTTGTCAAAGTTCAGATATATTCAAAAATAATGACCTTTTAAAATTGGTTTCTTTTTATTATTAAATTCTTTATCTCTTTTGACAAGAATAGTCGTAGTAGATACTGATTCATAGCAATGTATCTATTTGTTATTGTTATTATTGCTACTGTATCTCATTCTCTTTAATTGCTTAAATTAAATTATTTGTACGTCGTTCGTTTCGTTAGTAATTTAATATTTTTATTTGTAGTATTTAAATATTTGTTGTAGAAGTTTCAGCAATTATTCATTATACATTATTCAATTCTTTACTAATTAAATTTTACTTTAGGATTTTACACAACCACAGGTCATTGAACAGATGGCCTATGTTTTGATTGCCATCGGAGGAATTATGTTTGTTCTAAGTTTTCTTGGCTACTGTGGAGCGATACGAGAATCGCGTTGCTTCTTAATGACAGTAAGTACAAACTATGATTTATATATCCGCATTTAAATCGATCGTTCTTACATAAATAAATGTTTAGATAATTTTTTATTTAAATTAAATTATGTTTTTATAAACGTTTAAAATAAATTTAAAAATATATATAGAAATATTATTTGATGAACATTACAATTACCACAACATTTGAAAGAAATTTATTGTTAAGCTGTATGTAAATTAATCTAAACAAAATGTGAAAATGTCAATAAACAAATAAATTAAAAAATTTAATGTTATTGGCAGTTTGGCAGTAAGTTAAGCTTAACGAAATAATTTACACAAATTTTCACTGTGTAAAGTGTAACCACAAATAACACAAATAACCACATCAAAATGTAAGTATCTCTATATTCATCTGTAGATTCAGTTTATAATATCTGATTAAACGTTGTATCTACAAAAGCGAAATAAATTTGCTTTGACATAAGGATTTAATCAAAAACTTTCTTTAAGTTCAACTTCTTTCTCTATTTTACGTGAATGCATTTTTATTGTTTGGGCTTTGTACGCTTTGTGGAAGGTGCAACATCGTCCAAATTTGAAACCAGCACTGCTGTCTCTGCGTCACGTGCAAGTCTCAAGTGCATGACATGACTTAAAAGGAGAAAGTTTTTACAAAAAAAAAAAGATTTTTTTTATGAAAAACGAAAATAATTGTGCATATTTGACAAAAAAATTTTTTGATAGATAATTTCTTTTAGAGGCGTTTCATTATGAATAATTTCTATTGAAAAGTGTAAAAATACAATTTAAAAATCAAATTGTTATAAATTGGATACAAGTTATTATTCACTTATCTCTCAAAAAGGTATTTAAAACAAAAAACAAAAACCCAACCTTAAACCTAAGACCTAAGCCAGCTAGCAGTAAAGGTACTTAATTCACCTCTGATGATATCAAGACTGGTGATAGATGATTGATTTTATGGTTTTCTGGTTTGGTGATGAAGTTTGGTCTTGAAAAGTTAAATATTCTTGGTGAATATAAGCAAATATAGATTTTATGCTTCTCTAGTCACGTTGGAATTCTCGACAAAGCAGTTAGAGAAAAACTTGTCAGGAAAGTATAGTCTCATTGCTTGTAGACCCGGATTCAGTTTGTGGTTTAGGAAAAGATCATTTCTCAACAATAGAAGAGAAGAAACAGTTAAGGCTGTACTAGGGAAATCTTCTCGTGCAATCATCATCATTAAAGTCAATAATAGAAGAGAAGAAACAGTTAAGGCTGTACTAGGAAAACCTTCTCGTGCAATCATCATCATTAAAGTCACTTATAGGAATGTTCAAACTAAAACTATAGAATGATTGTATGTGACTAAGTAAAGATAAGGAATTCATAAACGAATCTTGACAGGGCACTAAATTTCCAGTTTTTTAAAGTAATAATCCTTCAAAGGTTTCATAACATTGGGTTATCACCTTAGGAAACTGAGAACTTAGTGGAATGGAATTTGTAGATTTTGTGGGGAAAAGTATAAGACCATACAACATATTCAAGAACTGATGCATAAACTAGAGAAATAAAAATGGATGAAGAAATAGCTTTAAACGGATAAAGAAATAAACCTAGATAAAATAGGTTTAATACTACCATATATTAAATAAATTTTTCTAAGAGAAATGTTATGAATCCATGAAGATATAGGTTGCAAAGCAAAACCTATCTTTTAAGCTACAAAACTATAATTATATATAGGAAAATTAATAAATATGAAAGACCTCTTATTATATTTTTATTGGGATAATATAATTTTTACTGTAGATAAAGTTTGAACTGTTTGAACACACTCACCCTCCACAATTACTGTTATTTGATTTATAAAATTACAATGAAATTTATATTAAAATAATTATTTTTGAACTTAATGTTTAAGTATGTTTACTTCCTCCTTAGTTCTGTATATTTTAGACTAATTCGTTTATCGTGATTGAGATATATTTAAATAAGGGAAGTATTTGGTCTAACATATATGTTATTTACATTGGGTATTCTAACATAAAACATAAGTTAAATTTCATTGTTGCAAAGTATAAACATGCATTTAATATGATTAGTTGATATGATCTTTGGTTATAACGATTTTTTCTCTTCCACTTCCACTTTATTTTTATAATGATTAGTACTCTTCCAACAAGGTGATGCACTCTGTCACAAATTGATGATACAGTATTATTGTAACACGTTAAGAAATCTTAACGTGTTAAGAATGCGTTTATACGTGCGTCTCTTACTTAATCGGTTTAAATTAACGCGAGTCAAAATATCATATAAAACAAGCATATGTTTCACATACTTTATTAAATGTATTATTATGTACATTTACTTCAAAATGTAGTTTTTTTTGTCATAAATATCTACTTAAATTTGTATTAATATTTGTATATACTGTATTTAGTAATATTTGATTTAATATATCGACCGAACTAAATGTGTAAAACCGTCTAATACAAAACTTACGTAGAGGTTTAAGTCTATCTGGTATCGCTAGGCTACAATATGTTGCGTATTTACGTGATATACGGCCATCTAGATCAATATAGGTAAACTGTGTTCTTATATCGTAATAGTTTTTTCTATAGGAATTTAACAAAATTATCTTCTTTGATCATTTATCTCATTTACTGCTTTTTCTACGATAAAGTAATGAATGTCCTTTGTAAATTAAAGTGAATATAGAAATATTTTTTTTTATAAAAAATTTTTCTTTCGTCCTTTAACTGTAATATTTCTATAAGCAATATTTTTTATGTTGACCTTTTTTTGAACTTACGTACATCGTTCCACTTTTGAATAGTTTTGCGACTTATAAATTTTCATACTTCCGTCTGGTTAATTTTGGCCAAATTAGGTCTATTACGTTTGACTTCTTTTAAGCCCAATTTAATCTGCATTTATTTCCCTTTCGCATACATATTTTCTTGCTGCTAATTGGGCTTTCCAATGTAGTCTCACATTTTCTCATTTTCATGTCATTTTGAAACCCATGAAAATGCAGTATGAATCGGTAAAGTTTGTAATTTATTTATTTAAGTTACTTTCATTTTAGATTGACATTTTTTTTTTTTTTTGCAAAAATACTATTAAATATATTAATGTTGTTTTTAAATGTTATAAATGTTTTAATTGCTTTTATTTTTTATTAACATTTGTTAAATTATAATTTGTACCTGTTATACTTATAAATATAATCTACCAGTTGTTACTAAAATTTTGTAATACTTCATTTGTTCAGTCCCGTCCATTGGCAGAGTATCTACCGGTATTACCCATTTTTGTCTTTCTTAATTACTTGCCACATTACAAATGTTTTTAGTTGTTACACATTATGCAGTACATTGACCGGGCATGCGTAACCAACTGAGACTAAAATGTTGCCCAAAAGCGTGATTTTAAGTAGCAAATAAATGCAAATTAGTCAAGAGTAGCTATAGTTACATATATATATATACAAATAGTAATATACGAGCATAAAAGCCATTAAAGTTATGCTACATCTTGTTTTTATAGCCCAATACAGCAAGTCATAAATATTTTTTTCAGACTTAAATGGCTGTTTTTTGAAAGCTTAAAATGTATTTTCGGAAGCAATTCTACATACGTACTGATTTCTTAATGTTTAAAGCTTTTATTTTATAAATAAACTTACGGTTTATTATGACAGATCGGCAGATATCCTTCCACTACCTATAATTAAACCGTAAGAGATGAGAATAAAAATACTTGTTGTTTCTTGCGTACTGATGAACAGGCTTGAGAAACTGTCAATAAAGTACTTCCTTAAAAACCTATTTCTTCTGGAAACCAAAGCTGAACAGCTACAAAGAAATTGCTTAATTGTTTCTTATTCTTGTTAGTTTTCACAACTACTACAGTGAGAATTAAATAGAATCTAAAAGTAACATATCTGAAGCTGTTTCAGATACCGCCAAATATCGTTATCGTTATTTATATTCAATGTAAATGCATTAATGTATCCTTTTCAGTTTTATATTTAATGCAATTTCAATTATAGATAATAACTCTTAATTATTTTTTTTTTAATTTAGAGTAAATTTCTGTACAATCCATTTTTCAAAAAAATTAAACTAAAAAGTGCAGAATTAACAGTTAATAATGTAGCATATCAGTTCCATTTGTTTTATATTTACTGAAATATTTATTATAATAAAAACTATTTGTTGAAAATTAATATACAGTAATCTCCCTATAACGCGGTAGATTGGTTCCGTATTATAGGAAAATGCGTTATAGGGTTATTCCCGTATATCCCGTATACACACGTGCAAAGGTACGTGAAACCAATTACGAATAGTACAAATCCCCGCATTATACGGGAGAATGCCCGTGTTAACCGAGGGATTGAAATCACGTAATATGAAAACGCGTTATAAGGGTACCTCGTTATAGGGACGATTACTGTATATGTATTAAGTTTCTTTTAAGGGCCATGTTATGTAAAGTTTTTTAGGCACGGTATTCAGTGAGAGAAAAAACAATATGTCGGTTCAAATTTCGGCATGAGAGCCGGTCTATTTGTGCCTCGACACTTAAACAACACTTAGTTAGCAGTGTTGTTCAGTAATAAATTTCAGAATTTGCGCAAATTACTACAATTTAAATACGTTTTGGAAAAAAATGGTACAGCTTATTTTATAAACAGTTAAGTATTTAATTGTTACACTTTCCAATTTTAAGAAAAGACATATAATTGTGTAAGTACTGTTAATTGTTATTATAAGATAATATTATAATAAATTAACATTATTAAAGCCTATATAAGTTTTTTCTTTCTGGTTATTTTTGATGGCAAAATGAAAGTGAGTTTATCTACATTTCCTTTTAAAATTAGGCATTACCAAGAAGTAGTAAAAATATAAAATTGGCAATATTGATGTGACTGTCTACATAACATATATTTTTGTCATAGCCTGAGACACTCTACATAACATGGCCCTAAGCAAATAATTTTAATAATTTTTGCATTATTTGTTCTTATATACTTCATTTAATTCATTTGCCAATTAAACTATGATTATTCGCAATCATATAACAATTTTATATATATGAACTCTCAGTTACTTCCTTGTATTATTTGTGTTTCTTACCATACATATAAGTTTACCAACACTTTGTATTACAGTCCATTGTCAGATGCTTCGCAGTTCTAAAAATCGTTCTAAATAGAATATGTTCCTTCTCTTAACGTTTCTTTAAAGGATCGTTTTTCATATAACTTAATTGTTTATAGCATAATTCATAAAAATATTGTAAAATTATTCATATTTAGTATTATTAAAAAAGTGTAAGATTTAGATTCGCTGTGGAAAGCCATAAGCATAAGAAAAAACTTGCCTGAATCTTCAGATACAATTAAAAACCTTTAAAATATATTTTTCTAATTTAATTAAATAATTTTTAATAATAAGCAGCACTATTAACTTTTAAATAAAAAACATCCAATTCCTTATCGTTTAAAATTTTAAAATATATATTCGAATCTTCATTCGGTTCTTTATATTGAAACTTTTTCACATCCTTATCCACGTCTTCATCCACAAAATTGACAACAATTACAACAAAAATTGGTTGTGTAAGGACTATCATATAAAGACTATCATATGATGAATGGTCAGTCCACTTTTACGTCATTTTTGGTCATGTCCAAATGGCATGTTATAGAAAAAATCATATCACAATTGTTAATCTTGATATGGTGACAACCTATAATAGTTGTGCCTAAACCATAATTGATACTCCTTAATATGGAAAAATATCCATATCTACACAAAAATATGGGTATTTGCTCTTAAAAGTACCAAATTCTGACATCGTCCCGAGGCACTATCACCGAATTTTAATGTAAATTTCTATGTTTTTCTTATTAATAATTTATTAATATACTTTGAAAATAACAACAATTTCATGTGTGATGTGACCATAACAGTCTGTATGACATGCGCATAAATGAAAATTTGTGTTTTGACAGTTAAAAGCAAAAGAAAAAAAATTTTTATTGAAGAAATATAACAACAACAACAAAAAATTTTTTAAAAAAACATTGAAAAATTGTTCTACAAAAGTTGTTTGAATTTAACTCAGTTGGCCATGCTTTTCCAAAAAATGTTTTCTTGAACTAAAAATTATAAAAATCAAATTATTCAAAATTTCGATCGGTGTGTGTGCAGTAATTTTCCTTCGAAATAGTCTCTAAATTAAAACTTCCAACTAATTTTTGGCTTTCAAAATTAATAGACAAAGTTAAGGACAAATTACTGTAATGCAGTCGTTAATGAATAGTATTAAATATTCATGTACCCGGTATGTAGATGCTACTATTTACGTCAAGCGCTTTAAACATGAAATTCCTAAACGTTTACAAGGAATACCTAAAGAAAAGTCGCCTAAGTTAGCTGCTATGATTGAGTATTATTATCACACTGCAGCCGCTAAAGCCTATGACTCACTTGTTAAGGACATGGAAAAATATCCTCACATGAGTGCTCAGCAACGCGAAGAGAGAGTAAAGGCAATACTTAGACTGATTGGCACGGTTAGTACATGCCTTGAGGTGACATTTCCTATAATTCGGAAGGATGGTAAATATGAGTTAGTAACTGGTTATAGAGCTCACCACTGCCGACATCGTTTACCTGTAAAAGGTGGTATACGATATGCTCAAGATGTCAATGCAGATGAAGTTAAGGGTCTTAGCAGTATTATGACATTTAAAAATTCCTGTGTTAATGTGCCGTTTGGTGGATCGAAAGGTGGCATAACTATAGATCCTAAAAAGTACAGTGTTGCTGAATTACAGGTTATTACCCGACGTTATACAATGGAGTTACTTAAACGTAACATGATTGGTCCTGGTATCGATGTCCCTGCCCCAGATGTGAATACTAGTCCCCGCGAAATGAGCTGGATATGTGATCAATATATGAAAACATTCGGCTATAACGATATTAATTCGCTGGCAATTGTTACTGGTAAACCTATACATAATGGCGGTATACGTGGACGAGAATCAGCAACTGGTCGTGGCGTTTGGAAAAGTGGTGACATGTTTATAAGTGACAAAGAATGGATGGATGCAGTCAATCTGAAACCCGGTTGGAAAGATAAAACAGTAATTGTTCAAGGTTTTGGTAATGTTGGGTCGTTTGCTGCTATATTTGTACATGACGCTGGTGCTAAAATTATTGGCATAAAAGAATTTGATGTTTCTTTATATGAACCCAACGGTATCAATCCTCATGAAGTTCTAGCTCATAAAATGAAAAATAAATCCGTAAAAGGATTTGGTAAAGCTAAAGAATTCTCAGGAGATTTACTTACAGAAAAGTGTGATATCTTAATGCCGTGTGCAACGCAAAAGGTACTGACCGGTGAAAACGCTGATAAGGTGCAAGCTAAAATAATACTTGAAGGTGCAAATGGACCTTCAACACCGGGAGCTGATGAAATATTTGTGAAGAAGAAGATACTTGTAGTGCCTGATTTATTCTGTAATGCTGGTGGTGTTACTGTATCATACTTTGAATATTTGAAAAATGTGAATCATGTTTCCTATGGAAAAATGACCATTAAACGAGAGAACAGTATGTTACACGAGTTATTCAACTCTTTGAACAGTTCAGGTGGTGGAAAATTCAAGCCAAACGATAAGCTGATAGCTATACGTGATTGTACATCTGAAGCTGAAATTGTTGATGCAGCATTACAAACCGTGATGGAGGTAGCAGCTAGAGGTATTAAGGAAACAGCCCACGAATATTCGACCTGTCTGGACATACGCTCAGCTGCATATATTTATTCTGTGAAAAAGATATTCCATGCATTCGAAACATCAGGCATTTCACAACAGTAATAATGATGTACCGGTTTTAATGTAATAAGTCCTTATCCACTTATCCGCTTTAATTGTACACACACTACAATCTTCACCTCACCTATTTTGGATTCTAAAAATTTGCAGTTTACATTTTGTTAATTTCAACCTTCAAAATTACAGTACGTAAATAAAAATCCTTTCAACAGACATAACATGTTTATTTTTTTTTTTTTTAAATTAATTATTCATATTCTTTGGAATAAGATTAAAAATGTGATAATTGTGAAAAATTTACAAAGCCAAAAAATATCACAGCTGTTTCACCTACCGCCAAATATCCATCATCATCATCAGTGGTCTTATCAGAAATACCTGTTGGTTTAATTGTCCATGTATAAATATATTATTTATTTTGTTCTTATTTTAATTTATTTATTTAATTAGTATTTATAAGCGGAAATAATGTAACAATATTTCTTATAAATATTTGTGATTGAAATGTTATGATAATTGAATATTTCCATTTATTATTTTTTATTATTGAAAATAGGTTAAGACCTCTCTAATTTCGACCTTAAAATATATATAGTTTTAATGGGCTGTATTAGTCAAAAAGCCAGCAATTATGTACATGCATTATGTGTAAATAAAAATCCAATTTACTATGACTTTGATAAATAATCAAAAATAATAAAGTCGATTCGATTAATTTGGCATTAAGTATTACCAATCAACCAACCAACCAACCAACCTCTTCAAAGGCCGTTAACCATTGCCAACCGAACGATAAACAGACAGACAAGATGTGAGTTGCAAATAAACTGCACTTTTTTGAGATACTCGTATTTTACTTTTTTTTTTTGTTTTCTATTTTTTTAAATTAATATTTTGCATAGATTTTGTGTGTAGAGTTTTTAATTTTAATTCAATAAATTTGTTGGCATCATGGCACATGTACACAAGTTCAAAAAACTATTAACTTTGATTTTATGGAACAAAATAAACGCTATAAAAATAAATTCCGTAAAATTGTTTATAAATTTGTATAGTTTTTCTATCTGCGATGAGTTAATCTCTAGTTGTTTGTATATTTTATTATATTTTCATAAAATTTGCTCATATTTTTCATTTATTTTGAAATTAAGAGTTTAAAAATAGCTATATAATATTTAAAAGTTATGCACTTTATTATTTTAATTGCATACCTGCTGAATTTTTCTAAAATTGATGTAATAAAATAGCGATTTCTCTCAATTCAGTTAATATACATATAAATTATACTACGGTTGTATGTACAGTAAGTGGTGTCACTTAATACAAAAATTTTTGAGATTAAAATATTTATCCTAACGTATGTATTGAAATTGCAGATAATGAATTGCACGTGATAAAATTTAACTGAAAGTAAACATATTTTTTAAACCTATCCACAATGATAAAACTATATATCCGTATTTGTCTATTAGCATATTTTTTCAGTTCAAGCTAGCCATTTCATTCATAATTCAGATTTTACTTCAACTTTACAATGTGCTCTTCCTTCCTATTCATCTTACATTTTCCTGTGTTTGTCTATTAGCACATACTTTTTCAGTTCCAGATACCTATTGCATCCTTAAGTCAATTTTTACAATGTGCATTTCGTTTTCATCTTACATGTTATCATGCTCTAATATTAGGTCTTTTCTTTTGTTAACATATTACAAAAGAATAACCGCTTATTTTAAAAATAATAGAAGAAACAACAACACTAGGCCTTTTCTTTTGTTAGCATATTACAAAAGAACAACAGCTTATTTTAAAAATTACATATGAAACAACAACACTACTAGCTTATTTAGTTCAAACTTTTTGAAATCGCTCACAACGTATAGTTGCCAGAACTAAAAATTCGTCGATTGTGAATGATTTTTGGAAGTACGTACAAAATTTTCAGTTAACTGTCAACAAATATTTGACAAATAATACTTAATTCCTTTTAATTTATTACTTTTTTCTATTAACATTGAAAAAACCTGAAAATATAAACTTTATTCACAATCATGTAAAGAATAAAATATTTGTAGTCGTAATTTTATAGAATTTTATACATTTTCTAAACTTTAACTTTAAATTTTATTACGTATTTTGCATATATATAAGCTTAACAAAATTTCTAATTCGTCCAGATTTGCCATCACAAATAATGTTTATTTTATGTTGTTCTTTTGCATTATGTTTACAAAAGAAGAGGCCTATTCTAGTGTGACTAGTATATTCATAGTACTAATACTTTCACAACTTTGATTATGATGAGAATCTTTATCTGTTAGCACGATATTTCCAACTTTTGGTTCAATACCGTTCCCTCTCCAGTTATTATGTATGTCATCTGATAGTAATAATCACACTGCATTGCTTGATAGTTTTTATCGCGATTGTTTTTTCAAGAAATCGAGTTATTCTGGCAGGCAAAGAAGATTTCACTTGTTTTGTCACCAAACAACTTATGAAGTGAGCTGGATTGATCCAATAATATCTGTGGTGTCTATAATTGTTAATCGACGATTTTTAAGCACCAAATCATTGATTTCCGCGGACTATTGTTTAAGAGTTGTTGTGATGGTCATCTATGGTGCTATAGTCTGCAAGACTTTCTTTCTCTTTAAGCCACATGCCGTGTCAGTGACTAATCTATAGAGTCACAAGTACTACAAAAGCTATTAGTGGGTAAAAAGCTTCTTATAAATCTGTATGTAGTTGAATTCTTGCTCTAAAAAGTATAGTATATAAAATATAAAATATAAAAAGAACAAATTAAAATAAATTTACTTATAAGCAAATATTGTAATTGATTTGGACTAAAAGTATCTGTGGGCATTGAAGCGTCAGTAAAGCCGAAATAATTTTTTTTTCTTTTTTTTTGTGTGTTTTGTATGCAAAATCATAATGTAGAGTTTTATTGAGTTTCATGTAATCCAAGCATGAAAATTTATTGCATAGTGAAAATTATTACATTGTGCTCTTTCCGCACTTTTGCATATATGATGCATGCGCTGTATCTTTTGCTTTAATATTTTAATTAGTATTGTTTGAATAAAATTCTATGACTACACCACAATAAAAATATTTAAAAAAAATTTGACCTACGCATTGGGTTCATGGCTGCAATAAATTTATTACTTAAAATGGGTTAAAATATTTTAGAGAGAAATAAATAAATACTTACAAAACTAAAACTTTTGTGTTGACTTTTTCGAATTGCTGCTCTATATTATTCTAGATACAATAAAATGTTTTAACAATGTAAAAATAATTTTATTAGTATAGTATTAGTAAACAGTATTAGATAGAAAATTTGATTTAATTGTGGAACTTAACCCATTGCTAAAATATCTTGTTTAAGTGTGAAACTATTTTATTTCCTTAATTAATCATTTTTTTACTATCTTATATTTACATTAATTACTTAAACATTATTTCCTTAAATGACAAAATTACTTTCTTAAATGATATGATTGTTTAATGCCCAGCATCTTTACTACTTGAAGTTGAAAAAAGTACTTAATAAAGTAATTAAATAAACGTAAGCGCTAATGACAGCAAATTATGAGTATTTCCAAAAGCATAAATCATTTATAATTATTATAATTAACTATATGTCAGTAGCATATAATCAGCGCATCTTGTCAATAAAACCGTAACACAAATAAATAAAAAATAATAAAGTATTATAAATAAATTATACCTATATTATACCTTTACAATTGTGTTTCAAAATTTATTTCGTTTTTCTCAAAGTAATCTTCATATAACTATATTCTTTCTAATCGGCGAAAAACCTACGACTAATAGTTTACAGCATATATTCCATACATTTCCGTAAACTCCATGTTATCATCTCAATCATCTGAAAACAACGTCTTTGAAACAATCAATTTTGAATATATCCAAAATTTGGACCTTATCTGATTAATAATGTTTGTATAGGATAACTTTTTCATTATATGTAATAAAAGGTTTTCAGAAAGTATTAACTAAAATCAATGCAGTCGTACTGAAATGTACAGAATTCATAAAAATCATGTTGTTTAATCAGCTGTAACAAATAAACTACATAATGTATTATTATCTACAAATTGTTTTTTATTTTCATTCTACGAAAAATGTTTCAAAAGTTATAAAACATAGAAAAAAACGTTTTTTTTTATCTTGTTGAGAAAATATTTTCTAACGTTAGATAAAATTAATGTGACAATCATCGGCTTAGTTGACCAACTCACTTGCACTTAGTCTTGCACTTGCACTTAGTTCCCATAAGAAATGTTTCATTCTTTCTTCTTCCATTTCTGACATCGACTTACGAGAAGTATACTGCATCAGTTTTATACACTTGATACAGTATCGTCTTTAAAATTCAGCTTCATAAGAGTCCCATCCTTAACAGGTTATTAATTAGAATCTTTTAAAAAGGAAACTAGCCTGTCTATGGTAATAAGAATTCTCTTGTCTTAACTTAGGAAGACTTTGCCTACGTGTCGAACACTCTACATTAATTTATGATATTTGCCCAAAAGAGAGTAATCTTGTCTTCCATCTTCATACACACAAATTTGTCTAATCGAGATGTTAATCTTCCTAAATCTTGAGATAGCATAAATTTAATAATCAACATAAAATATAACTCTAAACTTAATTTTGCAATCATAACTCTTACGATAATAATAATGTTTTATATTTAACATATCAAGCCGAAATAAAAATATATATATATATTGTTTTTTTTTTTTTTTAAACCAGTTTCTTTTTTATTGTCTGGCCTTTAAAATTTTCATCAAAAGAATTTTAATATTGGCGTAATTATGTATAAAAATGTCAGTAAAAGTCTGGTAATCAACTGTAGGCCAAAGAAAATGTTGACTAACACCTCTTGCAAGCTTAATAGTTTATTGCCAACATAAGTCGTCAATTATGAGCAACAATGAACTTATTTATAAACAATGTTGAAGCAGCAGAGCAGCAGTTGCAACAACGTTAACTGCAGCAGTTGGTATTTGCAATAATAAAAAAAAATTTGCAAGTACAATTGCATACAACAATAAACAGGAAATATGAGGTATTTGTTAATAATCAATTACTAAACCAGTAAAATGCAGACAAATAATGTTTAGATGCAATAAACTATTTAACTGTTGTTGTTGTGATCAATTTTTGCAGAAGTGCTTATGTCTAATACACATCACTTTAATATCTAATAAACAAAATACCAAAATATAGAATTATTAAGCATTCATTAAATGCTTAATAAATGTTTATACGAAAATTTATAATATTTCGTTCTTGTCCACTCTCATTGATGCCGTACCTTTTATATTTTTGTTGCAATCATTATTTATAATTTTATTAATTATTTATTTCAAGAATAACAATTGTAATATCTCAAATACACTGCAAAAATAGATAACAGCGTTGAATGCGTGTGATTTACAAAAACAAATTAAAACATGCTCTAAGAGCACAACAAATAGGAGCAAGCGAAGATAGAATACTCTCAGACTTTCTTCTCAATGATTGTAAGTGTGATAGAGAGAGAAGCATTAGTCTTGCTACACTTTCTCGCAATGCTTCTATGAAAAATGTTGTCATTAATTGCTTGGACCAAATAATACAACAAAGAGTGTAAATAAAAACAAAGCGAAATTTAATTATGTCACTATTATCTGTTTCATCATATAGATTTATAAAAGCTGATTTGAGGAATATTATTTTGGCAACTGTATCATAATTTTTCAATAAATCTGTTCTTATGTTTAAGCTTCCATATAACTCTAATAAGTCATCTTATCTTATCATCCTATCTTATCTTCCTATCTTATCATCTTATCTCATCTTCCTATCTTATCTTATCTTTCTAACTTAACTTATCTTCTTATCTTATCTTTTCTTCTTATCCTGTCTTGTGTTCTTATTTTATCACATCTTCTTATCTTTTTATCTTATCCTTTATCCCATTCATTTTATTGTCGTTTTATTGTGTAATGAGTTTCGTAAAATCTTTGCCATTCTTAATGCCATTTTTCATATTTCTGTTATCATTTCTCCTGTCTTCCCGTAATAGTCCAGAAATACGTTTGTTTAACGTATGGTCGTCATGTTTTGCTTTTCGAATGTGTTTAGGAATTTTTAGTTGTGACATTTTTGACCCATAACCGAACTACAAAAATTGACGGTTCTTGACTTTATATTAAATGCAAGTTGACTTAGCTCACGTCTTGTCCAATCGTTTATTTTTATCTAAAAATTTTAAAACTACGTACCAACATTATAAATTAAAGCATTTGTATAAAATAATTGTTATTATTATTTTAAATTTTTTATTAAGGGTCTGATTTAGACCAAGGAGAACTAAGTTGCTTAATAAAACAAAAGAAAAATTTGATATAAGTTAGTACGACTTAAATATAGTTTCCTTGTCTGATGGAAAAATGATTTCGTCTTTTAAGTCAGAGAATCTATGTAGTCGTAAAACAAAATTTAAAATATAACAATATTAACTTTTTTCAATCCATTATTGTCTAATTTTGTCTAGTTCTTATTTTACCATTGCTATTAAAAAGTCTTTATGAATGCCTTCTTTTCTGATTTATCATATTGCACCAATGGGTGTTATTAGTACTTTTATACTTTTATCTTTGTTCTTCAAATATTTTCAAGATTAACTGACTTACTTCATCACAAAGAATTGAAGATCATATTATATTGAGATCAGATCAGAATTTTTTAACCCTCGAATAGTCATTACCACCACTAGTCAGTAAAATATTGTTTTAGTAAAATATTGGTACCGGTTCCTGTAAAACAGATTGACTATTTTACCGGTCCTTGCAAAATACTTGAAATATTTTAGCACTCATTGTTGAATAGTTTTCGGGTTTGCAGTACGTTTTGTGTTAAAAAAAATATTTTGGATAAAAATCAATTTTATTAATATTGTGCGACTATACTACTTTATTTTTTAGTCTCTTGGAAGTAATTTGATTGTTTCTTGGGGCCTATTAAGTTAATATATAATTATACTAAGAAGAACATTAATTAAGTTATCAATGTTATCTAATAAAATTAAAAAATATATGTATATTAATTATATATTAAAAATAAAATAATAATTGAATAATATAATATATATATATATAATAAATTTATAATGTAATAATAAAAATAAAATAAATTATTAATAAAATTAATATTTTAATACTATATTGTAATGGTGTTTACATTAAATAGACTTTAATAAAATATTCTTAAAAAATGTTTAAATTAATCTTTAATTAGAACGAAAAAAAATATCTATTTTTACTCACACTTTCCCTTTGTTCTATTACAGTATGGTGTACTACTAATTATGTTACTTGTAGCCGAAATCGTGGCTGGCGGACTTGCTGCATTTTATAAGGAAACTGTAAGTTTACTTAATTTAAAATTATTAATTTTCTATAAATTAATTCAAAAATATTGTATATTAAAAACTGTTCAGGCTCGTAACGAAACGAAAAACTTTTTGGAAACAACAATTACGAACTATTATAAGTCCAGTGACAATCCTGATGCAGTAACCCATATGTGGAATCAAATGATGAGCAATTTTGCTTGCTGTGGCGTAAATGATTATCGTGATTTCGAAAAGTCTCAATCATGGATGGAACGCCGAGGTAATCATACAATACCGGAGGCATGCTGTATACTGAAGGATGTGTCTAATTATATACCACGAGATGACGATTGTGTAACAAATCCCAATGAAAATAATAGTTTCTACAAAAATGTAAGGTTCCATTAAAAACATGTCTTTTTCATGCCTTTATATTTCATTACAAACGCTTTTTTTAAACAATTTTAGGGCTGCTATGACGTCATGGTTGATTGGATTATATCCCATCGTGAAATTATAATTGGAGTTTTAGCAGTAGTTGCAATTATTCACATAATTGGCATTATCCTCGCTTTAAGTCTGTACAAATCGTTTTCTAAATATCATGGAATGAGACTGTAATTCTTAGCAGTCTAAAGTTATATATTATTTTAGACAATTAAAAAAAAAAACAAATAATCGAAAATTAAATTTATTTAAAAAAAATTAATAGATTTTGTTATAATCATATAAATTATATATATCTGCTTTTATATCTTCTTGAAATTTTATTTTTATGTTTAACATTTTTTTAATAATTGAAAAAAATAAAGTGAATGAAACAATATTTGTACTCTGTCTTGTATATTATTTTTAAGTACTACCAAAAGAATTAATTTTGTTAAAAAACCTAATATTTTGTGTTTGTTTATATCATTTTAACCACAGAAAAAAAACTATTGTGAAATATTTATATTGTTGAATTTAAATTAATTATTATTAGGTTTTTTTAATTTTAGTATTTTTAAGTAAATTTAAATTTCTTTTTTAATCTTGTTAGTTTTAATGTGTAAAATAAATTTAAATAATAAATTAAATAATTAAACAATTTTATTATAAATTGAGATAAAATTTATATTAAATTGTTGACCACTCTGTACATCACAATACATTTAATATATGTAATAGCAGAAATGTGAATTAAAAATAATTTTAATATTTAAAACATTTTTGAAACCATATTTAATGTTAGAATTTCATCTAAAATAATATAAGCATTACTTAAAGTAATATATAAAATAAAAGAAAGAAAATAATTATATCTTTAAAATATTTATATAAAAAGTATATAATTATTACAGTAATATAAAAATTTATAAACATATATAGTATGTATAGTGAATAATATTGGATTGATATTGGATTTAAATATAAAAATATTTAAATGTTATTTTTTTTGTGTATAAGCTATATTACAGTAAACAAATTTATATATCTATAAATTACATTAAAAAAATAGAGGTAAAATTGCATTTGAAATTGTATTTAATATACTAAATTATTTATGTAATCTAATATACATATACCATACATATATAGATATATAATAATACTTTAAGATTTATGTAAAATTAAATTTATATTAAAAATATATATAAATTAAGTTTCTTATAATATAATTCTTACACAATTTTGTAATTAATAGTTTAGCTATACTTGTTTTTAAAAAGTTGTATGTTTTGTATTAAATTAAACAAAAAATTTTAATTTTTGAATATTTAAAGAAATCTTTGTAAACCATTTAAAGAATTATGGAAATAAATAAAATATTTAGAAAACAAGCAATGAAATTTTACCGGCCACAAATCTTTTCAATTTAATCACATGTTTCATTAAAATTCAAAATTTTAAGATATAAACAACTAGAATATAGAAAATGGGGTGGGTCCACAGGTCAACGCGTGCAGTTGGACCAGAGAGCAGATAGACGACGTCATGTGGGGTAAAGTTGTAGTTTGCGCACACATTAGGAATACACGTGTTTATGCGTGACAAGTAGCTGTTTAGTACTTGGCTACATCTTGATCTTAATTGTGCTAGGATAGTTCTTGCTGCACGGAAAGACGTCGTTTTTACTGGAAAATAGTAGGACAAGCTTGATATCGAAGAGGATACGTCTGCGTCTTTGTGTAGGGCTGTGAGTCATATTCGATCTTACTGATGTTAGCTTCATTGCAAAAAGGAGGGAGGACTCTACTGAACATGGCGTCAGTGGCATGTCCATCTGTTCTTGTTGCACGATATCAGGAAATCTGTTAGATAATCGTGATCCCAAAAGGGATATTGCTTCGGTATAGAAATCGGAAAGCTCTTGTCTATAGTCTATTTCACTGATATAATATCTGTTAGAGTAAGAGTCGATGCATTCATGAAACGAAGAAAGGAATTCACACGCATAACAAGGAAGGGATGGTTTGATTGGGTGAAGGTTCTACTCATTCTTATGCAATTTGGATATCTATCTATATGACACAAACGCAACTCAGGAAAGCAGGTGTGCCTTCGTTTTGACTTTGTTATAAACTTTCTTTTCCAAGGAAGAAAGCTCCTTCTTATAATAATTATCATATTATGTATATGTAAATACATAAATTATGATTAATTTGACATACTGTTGTGTACAAATAAGAACACTCGAAAGAAATAATTTTAATGATTAGAAAAAAATCATTAGGATTTTATTTGAATCCTTTTAAATTAACGGTAACGTTCAACTAAACACAAAAACTTGTGCTCAATAGATTTACGGTTTCTTCACATCGAGTTGACAACGTTCAAAACCTTTCTATATATTGCTTAGATTATCCCCCAACTGCTCGAACAATCCCTACCTACCTTTCCTTAATCAACTTAATTCACAAATTCTAATTTTCACCGTATATATTATACTTTTCTGTTATACTTTCTTATATATTAATCCTAATTGTCTGGAGGATAGATTACATCAACAAAAAGCAATATTATTGTTCCAATGATGACAATTCCATGATGGAAATTCGGCGAGAATAAAATGTGTGTAATAAATTAAATAAAAAAAATATTTTCGGTTATCCTATATCGTTTATTATTCATTCACAAAAAAAGATATTATCAAATATACACAAATATATATGTATATATATTTATATAAATATATGATATATATGAAATTATATTAACATAAAATTTAGTCTTCTTCTTCATATGAAAAATTGATTAATAATTGAAATCATATTAACATTAAATTTGCTCTTCTTGATACGAAGATCTTCCAAGCATTGCTATTGACAAATCGAGTAAATTGGGATAAACCGCGTATTGGTTAATAGCTTCACATATTTTGCTTTCAATAACTTTTCTCACAATGTTATAATCATACAGTTTATCTCCATAGGTTGGTGTAGCTGAAATCCAAAGACGTGGAGGACCGCGGAAACTAAAAATAGGTATATTAAGATTACAAAAATGTTACTTTAAGGAATTGAAATCAAAACTATTAACTATTTTTTTTCAGTTATTTACCCAAGCCATATGCGATCTGATGGCGGTGGTGGCATATTGATTGTAGCACGCCCTACTAATCCTTTAATATCCACTTTCAATGTTAGCGTTGAGCTCATATTTTGCATTGCGCGCTGTATATACGATAAATTTGTGAAATGCTCTATGAATTTTGCAGTTCGGGACTTATGAAGTGGTTCCTTAGGACTTTTGTAGAAATGGAAATAAAATTAAAATAATATAGATAAAATCTTATATTTTTATAAATCAAAAATAGCTATACATATAGGTGTCTTAAAACATACTCGGTAGTAATTTGACTTCCGCTTTGTGCTGTAGCAGTAGTCTCTTGAGAAATAGCAGACTTATTGTTCTTTATTATTTTTGTGTTGGATTGTTTGGATTTATGGTGCAAATTTACATTATTTCCATTTTCAACATCACTTTCACCACTGGATGGATCCCCCGCATCCAAAAATCGACTTGATAATATTGATGACCGACTAAGTCCTGTAGAAAGTCCATCAGTTTTTGGCTGAAGACGTTCTTCATGTGTTTCTATAAAAGCGGGTGGATGAGGTAAACGTTTTAATCGCATTAAATTTAACTCAGTAGATATTGTTATGTGTGCTGATCCTTCATAAGTGACATCTGCATCAACCCAAATGCCACGCTCATCTAATAATGGTTGAGAAATTCTATGTATTAATGGTGGTGTGTTACCTAAATCAACGCTTGTGACAGTAATGTTCTCTATGAAAACTGGCAACTGCAAAATTTAAGACTATTACAAAAATAAATTAATTTTTAAATTTCTCTTCTATTTACTTTTAGTGCAGATAATTTTTTCTGAATAAGTTCGCGAACCTTTTCTAAACTTTTCTCATCATTTAGTAAACCATAAATAAAACGTCCCAACAACACATTTGCCCAAACAACACTACCTGATGGACCCAAAAATAAAGATATATCAACACCTTTCCAGAGGTCAATACTTTTACGATTTAATTTGCGGTTCTGTAACTATATAATTTAAAATAAAAGAATAGTTTTTTAAATAATACAAAAATCTTTTTAAAACTTTTGAAGACCTACCATATCGATTGGATTTAATTCAATTCTTTTAAAAAGTGGAATTTTGTTTTGTTGGCAGGATTTCTAAAAAGTGATAAGATAAGAATTAATTGTTAAAAAAAATATACTTCACTTGAGATTTTGTATTTAGGACTAATCATAGTTCATAGTTAACACATCTAACCTGATAAAGCGCCATAAATTTGATGTAATCCTCTTTATTTCTTCCCGCGCAACTACTAAATAGCAAGCCCTGAAAATTGGTTTCCGGTTTTTCGATTACCTTTTGAATGTCTTGATGAATGTCGTTGGTTTGATTTGAAGATTTTGTTTGCAACGATTCTTTGGCCTACAAAATGCCAAATTAAAACATAACTAAGAATGTCACAAATATTTTTTGAATTAGAGAAATGGGTTGAGATATGAATATACCTTTTTTGTTGGGTCTTCTATATCAATATTTCCATCAACTATTTTCAAATCTGATTCCGATGCAGCAGTTAAATTAGGAAGTAACAATGTTTGATCATAAATATGGCCAGCGCTAGCAGCAACGAATCGGCGATACCTATAGATTATATAAATATTTATTAAATAATGTGTTGTCAAGTTATTTATTAGTGTCTTTGTCAATATATATGAGTGTTATTAAAGGTCATATTCTGTAGAATTTTTCAGCGATTTCGATTTTTGTTTTTTTTAAACTCTGATATAATGGATATAGATATGTATTTCTTTTGGATATAATAGACAGAAGTATAAAAATGGCTGATTGTTTGTATATTTTCACCTATTAAATTTTACTATTTATTATAATTAAAAACTTTTTTAAACATATTTAATAATTATACTTTAAATTTTAAAAAACAAAGTCATAATTTTTCGATGAGTAGTAGAAAAGGTATATGGATTGAGAATTGGCCCAATTTTTCGAAAATTTAATTTCACTAAAATTCATAAAATTATAATTAACTTTAAAACTCATGAGCGGATTACTTCTATGTTTTATAAAAGTAAAAAGTTTTATTGAAAATAAAAAATTTCTTATTAAAATTTTGTATGAAGGATGGGTGTTACAGTTTGTGGAACAAAACGAAACTTTCTGAACCTTAGTGACACAAGATAAGTATTTTTTATATACAAAATTTCATGTGACTGCCTTTTATAGTTTTTGAAATATTGATCCAAGTTTGTGGCGTTTTTGGTATGGCGATTGGGATTAAAATATATTCAAGAACGTCTATCTCAAAACCTATATTTAAAGAAAATTAAATTTAATATCTCTACTGGTTTAGAATTTCAAACGTCTAATTTTAATCTTGCCACACCGTGTTATGATATAGAGTCTTATATTTTTAGGTAGATCTGATTTCAGCAGCTAAACATTGATGATCTTATGATGGCAATAATTTATATGGTATATAATAAATGAGGTCCCTTTGACTTACTTACTGGCGTCGTTCATGGTCAATATAGCTTACTTTTCGAAATATAGAGCTTTAAAGTTGAAAATTTGTAATGGAAACTATTAAAAATAAGTACACATGCAATCAGGATGTAACTCATTCTTTGTGTAATCAATGTAAAAATTGCATATACTATTTTAACGCTAGATGGTGTGAATAGTTTTTCTAAGCGTAATCAATATTATAAATTTAAAACTTTAAACCTTGAAACCTCAACAAGTAAGCTATATTGGCATAATGAAAAATAGCATAAAGGAAGAATATACTCTAGAAAATGAATTCTTTTAAGATACGTTATTATGTTAAATCGACATATTCTCGAATTCTCTGCACTAGAAGTAGAGATAGAAACATTCTGACGAATGTAATATAACATTTTATTTAAACTTAATATTAGCAGAGCGTTTATTTACGTAGTTTTATAAACATATGAACTAAATTTACCAGTCCTCCTTTTGTCGTGCTGTCCGGCCAAACAGAAAGAGTGTTTCCAGTTCCTCATCGCTAACAGTGGTTAGGAAACTCTCATTGGTATTAGTACGATTATCAAATTTCTATGAATAATATATATTTAGTATTTAAAAGATTTTTATAAAAAATATGACTTTTACCACGCTTGAACTATTATCTGGTAATACATATAAAGTTTCATCACTAATAATGGTGCATATATTTGTCTCAGAGTTACTTTTTGGGTAGTATTTTTCGTAGTCAATTATAGTTGGTTTACTACTCTCCGTAACAGATGTATCACTCTTTGCCTTTTTAAATTTAAATTTACTTGTTATATATTTTAAACTATTCGTTGAATTGTTTATAGGCGGCAACAATGGATCAGTGTGTATAATCTTTGGAAAGCAGCTGTTTATTGATATTTTTATTGGCAATTTACGACTAAAATATCTGAAAGGTAAATTATTTCATAAGAACATTTTAAATATTAATGTAATTGTAATAATAATTTACTACACCTCCTTCTCGGTATATCTAGCGGTAATAGAGTTACATAGCTTCCTATGATGTTATATGTACGATGGTTTACAAATTGTACTTTATCATAATCAATCACCTCATTCCACATCTCGCGTACAGGTATTTTAGTAAAGGTGCCTGCAAGCGTTAATATGCTGCCTTTTGGAAAATAGAATTACTTAAATACTACTTTTAATTATTAATAGAGTTTAAATATTGATTTCTTTATATTTAAAAACATTAAATTTACCTAACCTTGCAGTGTGACATAAACTGGTTTAAACAACGAGGTATTAAAAGTTTCCGGATCATAGTCAAACACTTCGCACATCCAACCCTTAAAGACATTGCGTTAAATTGTTAATTGTTTAATTTTTTAAGGAAAAACTATTGCCTTACCTCATAAATTTTCATATTAGTGGTTTGCTCCACTGCTGGTGGATCAATATCAGTCATATTCGCATAGTCGGGAATTTCAAATTTCCCTTGCTCTGGTAAATCCTTCAAATATGAGTTAATGATAAATACGACTACACCTTTTAATCCAACTAACACTCTAAATACAAATACCGTTGCGATCATACCACGGAAGAAGTCGTAATTAGGTATAAACCATAAAGCTGCTAGTCCTAGAAATGAGAGCACTGGCAAGAGTTTCAAAAATTTCATCAAACGTGCAAAGACATTTTTTGATTTCTTGTTAATTTTGGTAACATTTTTTTTAATTGTTTTTTTCTTGTTTTTAAGAATAGCAGAATTACAATCTTCATCATCTCCTGGTACATCAAAAAACCTGTCACAATGTTTAGGGTCATTATATTGGAATTGCTCTGGTGGGATCTTGTTTATCATATTTTTATAAAAATCTCAATTCTTTACATTTATTGAAATAGCGTTATATGGGCCAAAGTACAAGTGCTCGTCATTCTAATGTATAGAGGGTACTACATGTTACAATCTAACTCTTGTGTGTTAAAATTGCAACTAGATAATTTTATATATTTGTTAGTTCAAGTAGTAGTTCCAAAATTTTTGGGTTGGGAGCTAATTTGGTTCAATTTTTTAAAGTGAATAAAGTAAATTTAAGACATTACTGCTTACGCTTCCCACTTTTATTAACCAAAAGTTAAAATTTTTTTAAGAATTTAGAATAATCTAGATATTTTGGTGTTTTAATTATAGATAAAAAATATCTTTTATCAAAAACTGTCAAAAATTATGAAGTAAATAGCTTTGTTATACTATTTTAATATTTATTTAAAACCTAATATTATTGCTGAAATATTAAGTTACTAATAGGCATATATAGCTTAGGTTAGTTTATTGTGGTATCCTGTGCCCAAAGCCCACTTGAACTCAAATAAATTGTCACATAATACCGCAGAGCTAGTAGATGAAACATAACAATAAACTTTAAATGCATTAATATCAAAAACCTAGATATATAAATCCTAAACCATGTTCTATGTGTTTCATAATAAACGTAGAAAAATTTTAATCAACATTGTCTAAAAAATATACATAATTCCAAAAATTATGTATGTGTATGTATGTGGTTCTTAGGTGACACATATAGTCTCAATTTTTTTTTTAATTCACGTTCCAGTGTTCTTAACATAGACTTTCTGTGAGTAGAGCGGGGTTCACGATAATCGTTGAACCGTTAAAAACTCCCCCTTTCCAGAATGAAGTGACTCGAAACCACCACAGGGTATTGGTTTAGATCATGCACATTCTGATTGTAAGATTAAATCTTACGCCGCTGCTATTGTGCCTACGTCTAAGCGGTTCATCTAAGCGCGGAGTACTGCCTTCACCTGCCAGAGTGTATTATATGCAGACCTATTTACATATCTTGATTCTTTTTGATGCTTTAATCTAACTTGTACTAATCCACGCATTAATATTGAATTTTATACATTCTAGCTATAGTTCTAAATCGAATAGACAAATAAGATATAACCCTAACATATATCTGCTACTCAATACCTTAACTTTTTCCGTATTAATTTCTAGGCCGATCCGTAAATAAACTACGGGCAATGGTTTTAGGCTACTTTGGAGAAATTTTAAAAAATCAACCGCATGTTATATTACAAATTTTCTGGTGTGTTAAAAGGGTTTCATGGAACACCGAGTGGTCCATTTGATGTTTGTAGCATTATTTTTGAAGGTAAGTGAAAATAACTGCGTCCATGTCGCACACTAGACCTTAGACCGAATGGTTCAGAGAGTTCTGTAGCATAATTAACGAAGCATTGTGAATTATTTAATCCTTCAACAAAATCAAACATATTAGCTGTTATATCTTTTTTATGAAGTACTTTCTAGAGTAACATAGGATTCAAGCTATCAAATGCTATTTTAAAACTTATAAAAATTATATATATTAAGCATCAAACTTTATTAGATTATTTGGATATAACACCCAAACAATCTCTTGTCAAATAAAAGTCACAATATCTTTTTTTCAGAAATTTATAAATAAAGTTGGGCAGATTAATATAGAATTACTGAATTAAATTTTTATAGTCCATCATGCGGAAAGAAAACTTTTGTACTCATAAAAGGGTTTTGAATAGTAGTAAACTACAAAAACAATATTTATTTTCATTAATTGAATTTTTTGGCTAACCATACAGCTGTTTCGAGTAATAACAAATACTCATCATCACTGGTTTTGAGAAATATTCGTTCGTTTTATAAGTCCGTATATAGTTGTGGAACTACAAGTGCCATTCTTAGCAGTATGAACTTAAAAATTTTTAACCAAATGAGTCAAATCTGTACGAAACTTTCATTTTTCATTTTTCAAATTTCAAAGTTTTTGTTACTGGAGACAACAATCAAAGTTGTTGTAGTGCTTTTTAATTATAACAGGGTTATAGATCATAGATAAAAATTGCAATCAACTAATGTAACTCAACGATCATTAAAAAAAAAGTTAAGTAACCATTATAATTAAAATTATGATATCAACAATGACTATAAACGTTAGTATTATAAGTCAAAGTGCCTTAGATGTATTAATTTTTTATCATTAATTAGTACTGATTTACAGCAGATAGAATTGTAAATTTAACAATTATTAATTATAATTATAAAAAAAATTTGTAAAATCATAAGATTTCTAGCTTTCACTTGTGAGTTTATGAACCACATCTTTATGTTTCAGAAATCTTTATATAAAAAAGAAACCATTTTAAATCTGAGTACAAATATAGTATGATTATTTATATATATATTTTATTTATTATATGATACAAAATTCTTTGAAATAAAAACTATAAAAATACAGACATTAAAATTTCTGATATAGAAAAGGAAATAGTTTCTTTGCCAGCTAATTTTAGACAACTTTACATTTCTTTCACATAAAATATTTTTCATTTTTTTAAAGAGCTTAAGTACAGTAAAGTAAAAATAAAATAAAAATAATATTTTTTTGTTCAATTCATTTTAATTTGTTTACAAAAACATAAAGATACCACAATTAATTAAGTAATTATTTAAAAATAATGTCCTGTATTAAGAGATCGATGCATTAAATTTTTAATTATGCCAAGCATTTTGAAAAAAAATTTTAAATTATATCCACATCCTTTGATAAAATAGTAAATATAAAAATTATATATATATATAAATATTACAGTTTAGATATAAAGTTTGGTGTATAAAATAAATTCAGAAATACATTTATAAATAAGTTGTTAAAATAATTTATGCTTAATTTAATAAATATTATAGCATAATCTATTGTTATACTAATGGAATACAACCAAGCATTTTCAGTATAAATAAATAAATATTTCCCCAACATAAAAATAGTATCTGAAAAATATAATACTGTTACTTAAATATATTAAATTAATTTGTTTCCTGATACGTAGATCTGCCTAAAATAGGTATAGTAACATCAACCATGTTAGGATAAACCAGAAATTTATTAACTGATTCGCAGAGTTTACTCTCAATAACGCTTGTAACTATGCTCCAATCAACGGATTTATCACCAAAGGCCGGTTTCGCAGTTATCCATAGACGTGGTGGACCTCGAAAACTGAAAGAAATTAGAAATACCTATTACATAAATTTTAATCAGTAAAATAAGAATTATTGTAACTTACGCCAACCACACTCTGTCTGACGGTGGAGGTGGAATGTTAACTGTAGCCCGCGCTACTAATCCCTTGATTTCTACCTTTAATGTTATGTTAGCGCTCATATTTTCCATAGCTTTTTGTACATATGAAATTTCGGTGGCATATTGAAATAAGTTTGAGGCAGTTATGCGGTCAACTATTTTAAAAATTCTTCGTGCATTTCCCGGTGATGTGTGAAATACACTGAAACTGTGAAAATAATTTCATTAATTTCCGTTAAATAAATTAGTGTTAAAAATATAATAAATAAATGTAAAACGCCAATTCTTAATGTGTATCCCAATTGTACTTTTATATTCCAGGGCAACACACAAACACACATATGTTCACTTGTTCCAAGAAGCATACCACTCTAAGCCCTAATAGAGCTTTCCCTACAAAAAGCATCCATCGATAGATATATCGACAAAATTTTGCAATGGAGCTAACAGTGAAGTCGAATACTCCTCCGTGTCGTAACTCAATTGAGATCAGGATACAACCATGCGCCAAATAATAATTTGACACCTATAAACACGTATATTTCTAATGTGTGCCCTCCACCCTCACTCAAAGATTACCCATCCATATCCTAAACTGTGCGTTCGTCATGTAATGCCTTTCATGTTGTCTGCTTTCCAAATACCTGTGAGTTACCACAACAACAACATCTCAACCATATTGCTTTTAGCCTTCGTCGCATTGAGTAGTTAGGGTTTTTTTATCAAGGCTCAGTGTAGTTCAATTATTCTCATTCATTTCTCCAATTTCAACTCAATACTTCTCTACATAATCTTAATCTATTTATATATATTTTGTTATCCTTTTACCAAAACGTTAAAAGTCGCGATCTAAGACACGTCAAGGAATATAACAATAATGTTTTGTACTTACTCGCTTGATGCACTGGGATTGTTTGCTGTAGCAGTTTCCGTAACTGTTGTTGTAACTGGACTTTCTGATTCCGTACTGGAACCACCAGAACTTTCGGCATCGCTATCATAAATAGCACTGCTCGAAGAATGAACATCTACCAATTGATCGTTCACAATTGAAAGAAAGCTATTTTCCATATCTTCTGGTATTAATTGAATTGGTGGCACATTTGAAAGTGTAGAACTGGTATCTAATAAAGAAGTTGGTCTTGGAGAACGTTTTAAACGGAGCAAATTTAGTTTTGTTGTAACTGTTATGTGAGCCAAGCCCTCATAAGTGACATCTGCATCAACCCAGGTACCGCGTTCATCTAGTAAGGGTTGTGAAATACGATGTACCAATGGCGGAGTGTTGCCTAAATCAATATTTGTAATAACAACATCTTCCATAAAAGGTGGTAACTACAAAAATACATATAAAGAAATTATAAATTTTTAATTGATTTTTTATTTTTATTTCGTGAAGCAATTTACCTTTATAGAGCTCAACTTCTTTTGTAAGAATTCTTGTATTTTTAATAACATAGTGTTATCAGTTAAAACACTGTAAACGAAACGACCAATAAGTACATTAGTCCAGACCACACTGCCAGAAGGACCCAAAAAAAGTGACTGATCTATTCCTTTCCATAGATCAGCAGCTTGACGTCTAGCACGACGGTGCTATAAATTATATTATGTTTTTAGTATTTTTTTAAAATATTATTAGAAAAATAAAAGCAATGAAGCACTTATAATATAAAAAATTAATAACAAATAAATGTGGCTTATATAAATAAAAAAAATTAAAACCTACTAGATTTTTATGACTTCTATGTTCCATATTTTTATAAACTGGGATTTTGGTTTGATTACAAGCTTTCTAAATGTTCAAAAAAATGAAGAAGTACAAATTATAAACTTAAACAATTTGTAAAAAAAAAGATAAATGATGCACTGGGGAGAAGCTTCAAACCTGATAAAGAGCCATGAATTTAATATATTCCTCTTGATTTCTAGCGGCACAAGAACTTATAAGTAAGCCTTCATATTCATTATCGATTGCTTGTTCCGTCTCAGGTTCTACATCACCGTCATCGTTTACTTCTTTGTTCTGTGATTCCCCTTCATTATCATTTTGATCTTCATTTGTTAAGGAGCTCGAACTTGCCACATTAACATTTGCTATATTCACGTTAGTGTCATCTTTGCCACTAGTTGCATTAGGAAGCTTTTGAAGTAGATACGAGTTTCATAACATATTAATAAAAAAAAATTAATTATTTATTTATTACCTTTGTGTCAGTAAGTTTAAGAGCAGCTTTCACAGCTGCTGCTTGCAAATCTTTTTCGTTTATAAGCTTTATATTTGGTAAACGTAAATCCTGGTCATGAACTTCACCATTGCTAGCAGCCACAAAACGACGATACCTTTGTGGATAAAAAAAATATTGATTATTTTTCATGTTGAGAAGTAAACAAAAAATTGTAAAAAATTTATAAAAACTAACTTTATGAAAGGGCCACATTTGCATTTAATGCTTTAGAATGATACTATTTTTAGTATCATGTATTATGATAAGCCGGATGAATGTTCTACATGCCGGACTCCTTATGGGCATATGAAATCATACAACGGGTTAGATTGGGTTAGGTGGAATAGAGGCAGGAATAAATCTTCCTCATATAGATAACAAAGCAGTTTTGATTCGGCATTCCACTGTTTCTCGTAATAGTGGATAGAATAGTGGATAGGTTATGTTAAAATCAGCCGGAAGTGGAAGCTGACGGCTAAGCACGCAATAGCTTAAGCCTGGTTCTAAACAAGTTTGGACATAGACACAACAGATATTCTGTTGTCTTTTTTCAAGCGCCGGAACACATGTACTACAGGAGATATTACACCGCAGACTGAGTTTGGCTCCATGTCGTCCTATAGTCTAGCGTCCGATTAGAACAGAGACATTTGCTGTATATGGCAATAGTAATAATAACAATTCTTACTATTAAGATTTCCATAACGTGACAAACCGGATAGTATTAGTAGAAATAGTAATCAGGAGCACATTCTACTTCACAATTGTTAGCAGATATTCTTCTACTACCCATAATTTGCTATTATTCACCTACCGTATATCTCGCAAAACACCTAGAGTTGAAAACTAGATCCAACTTATTAAATTTAGATAATTTAACAGATAATAACACCTATTGGCAATAATAATTCTATGTCTGACATTCAGAATGACGTATCGGCGGCACTAAGGTGGATATAATCCTTTACAGCTAATTTCCTACTTTTATCTCTAAGATAATAAGCTGGGGATATTTTTTATTCGTTGGGCTTATGAGATCACACAACGGGTAACAATAACAACAACAAAATTTCACCGCATAATAATAGTAACAGATAATATTGAAAAAATAATATTTTAGAATCTCTTATTACCAATCTTCTTTTTCTCGATCAGTGCGAGCAAATAATAATAGCCTTTCTTCATCTCCACAAGGCATTGTGATGCCCTTCAAATCTGTGTCCGGGTCTTGTAAAGTTTGTAACTACAAAATAAAAAAATAATTATTGTTAATTATGAAAATATTTTTATTTTGTAATTACTATCTTACATCTGCGCTTAGTATTGTCGCTGCAAAATCCATTTCAGAGTCTAATTCAACAAAATCATGTGACATTCGATTATCATCAAAAATGTCGGACTGCTTGTTTTCTTTGGAATCTCGACTATCAACTGATGCAGCAGAATTCATTTCACTATTATCTCTAATACTACTATTGGATGGACGTTTTGAAGTATTTGCAGAATTCTGGTGTTGAAGTTCTTCATTACGTTGTTGTTGTTGTAGTTGTTCTGTTTGGCATTTGATGATAAGTTGTATGGGATATTTCCGGTTGAAATATCTGTTTAGGAGTATTGGATGCAAAGCAATTATACGAATTGATGAAAAAAGACAAAAATTATAATTAACCTTTTACGTGCTAGTCCCAGTGGCAGCAGTTCTATGCGGCATCCCAAAAGATTGTAACTGCGACGATTTGTAAAGAGTATAATCTTGTGATCAATCGGTGGTTCGTTCCATAAAGCACGTCGAGGTATGCGTGCAAGGCTATTCGAGATCTTCAACATAGTACCTTTAGTAATAATGAGCAGCTTTTTAATTAAGTCTATTTTAATTAAAAGTAAAAATAACTTACCTTCTAGTTTTACATAAACTGTCTTTGTCATGGAAATTTGAAATTTATCTGGATCATAGCTGTTTATTTCACACATCCAACCCTAAAAATAAGTTAAGTTTTAGACTATTATTTTAAGAACTATTAGCATTCACTTCTAAATCACCTTATAACTTTTTATATTTTTATGTTCCTCTATGACGGGTATTTCACAAATAGGCATTTTACTATAGTCTGGTATTTCAAAAGCTGACTTTTCCGACTTTACAGAAATAAATTTATTAAAAACATATTGTGTTAGTTCTGTCAATGACTGCAGAATTCCAATAAATAGCAACGTCGATAATGCTCCCTTTAAAAAATCATATATTGGTAAGTAGTTAATGACTATTAATCCCAAAATGCAGCTTGTAGGTAAAACCCGGAATGTATCTCTCATAATTAGTAGAATTTCTGTAGTTTTTAAATTGATGTCAACAGCAGTCTCAGTTTTTTCATCAACAGTGCATGATTTAGCCAATTTTGTATTGACGACGGAGTCAAACAAGTCTTCTTCAGAAGGTAAATCTTTAAACTCCCTCTTTTTAGTAACGCTTGGAGTGGCCTGTAAATCTGTTGCTGAAATTGAATGCGGTATCATATCCTCAAGCATTTCGACTCCAGACTCTATCTCCACTATTTTTTTACCCTCTATAATGCCCTTCTTTTTTACTGGTTGATTGGTTTTTACGTTAGGAATTAAAGAAGAAAGATTTTCATCACTGTTTGCAGGTACAGCTAACTCTGCTCCTTCAATAGTTTGTTTATGTCTTCTGCGCAAAAACCCAGTGCGTGTTGGAGCCGTGGTTGTAGATGCACCATTACCGTTACGTTTAAAGATTGTATCCAATTTTTTCTTAGGAGCCGTACTTGCAGCGCTACTAGTAGGTGCGGCTGTTGTTAAGGTAATTTGAGGTTGCTGCTGTTGATGATGATGATAATGTATATTATGTGTAGTTGTTTTAGCTTTTACTTTTGACCTAAGATTTGCTAAACCGCGTTTCAAGCGAGAACGTTCTACATCACCCTCTAGTAAAATTTCACAATCGACATCTGAATCTGAATGTTGTTGTTTTAGTTCTTGGTCTAGTGGAAGATCTTCACTAATGGAAGAATTAACAGTTGCATTTTCTTGATCAGAATCTGGTTCATGATATATGTCACCTATTTATAATAATATTGATAATAATATTTAGAATTAATTCAAATATTTTAAATTTATTTTAATTGCAGTAATAAGAAAAACTAAATAAATTTTACTTTTGGAATGTGGAATTGTTGATGATGGATTGCTGCCTTTTGATGATTTTATGTCCTCAATAGTTTGAGATACTTTTCCTTTAATTAATTTCCAAGTACCAACTGATCCACTGTCACCGCTACTAGAGAGTGCTGCAATAAGATTTGGACCAGATGACGTTGGTGATAAACCTTCGATACTACCGGATCTAATCACAGATATTAGTTTTACAAAATAAATTTATTATTATATTTTAATAATTGTAGCTTATATTAATTACAATAACTGTTTTCCATTTTTGCTCAACATTCTTTTATTTAAAAAACAAAACTATATTTTTAAGTTGAGATATCAGACGCTCAGCTCTGGCAATCCTTAGAAGCAGAAGATTTGTATGCCATGCTCTAATCACGTATTTTATCTCTCTAAGTAGAAATTATTTTCATATAACTGTTATTCTGGATCATAATCTACAGCAAAAATAGTTATTTAAAAAAATAGACATCTTATTTAGTAATATTTAGCACAATTTCCATTATATTTGTGTTAAACTTATATTAAAATTTAGGATCAGAATTTACTGAAATGCAAGAATATTTATTGTATTCTTCCCGGAGTATAATCTAACCCACATGTAAAAGCAGATTAAAGTTATTGGTTAACCTTTAGTTCATAAATTTTCTCACACTAAAATCACACTAAAATGCTGGGCTCATTTCCTGATAATAGAGAATATAAGCAAATAAAAACTCCAGATATCTTACTCTGAATGTTGAACATCAGGTGTCAAGTCCAATAAATTTGTTTTTGAAACAATAAAACTATTTCTAACAGTTTTATAGTACACATGATTTATATATATATGTATATAAATATATATATATAAGGCAAATTATTATAAGTATAAGCTTAATTATACCGAAATTCTTCTTCTCTGATACTGATTGATAAAACAGATCTCGTACTTCTTTAAAAATTTCAAAAAAATTTAATAAATTCTTTTAAATACACGCAAAAAAAACATTGTTCTTCTGACTATTAAAATACATTGTTTTGGATAGAATTTGACTTTATTTATAAATGTATTATAACTGAAATAAAGTCATTTACTCTTACGAACCACACCCTAGTCTTGAGCTGACACAGCACTCCTTTAGTCCCTTTATATTAATTGCAATTAGTGTCCCTTTAACTTGATCACAACATAACCAAGGAGGTCAAACCGTTGCTTGTTATATTGATCTTTATATTTACCTATTATAAGAAAAAAATAATTTTAATCTTATGATTCTTTACGTCTTAGAGAAAAACACGTCTTGTATAGATCCATCAAAAGAAAAACTTAGAATCATTACAGCAGTCTTAACAGAGCACAGTAAACTATAATACCACCTTACGAGACTGGGTATACATACGGATGCAAACTGTAGATTCTACGAAGAATATGAAAGCCACACATGTGCTGTTAAAATGCCCTGCGCTAATGAACATACGGAATAGATTCCAGGGAATGTATACCCTTTCAGAAGAATCAATAAAACTCTGTAAAGTAGGGTCTATACAACTTCTTATCAACGAAACAGGGCTTAAAGACGCCTAGAGATTGAAACTAGATTTACATTATTAAATTTAGGTGGTTTAACAGATAAATAGTTTAACATCTAATGGCAATAATAATTCTACATCTGATTTTTCGGCTGATCTTTTTGACGACGCTAAGACAGATAAATTCCTTGACAATTTCGAAAGCCAGCTACTAGAACGGTGTCCGATCAACATATATTTCTTATTAATACGTCCAATCGACGCCAGTAACTGACCTTTACTTTGTATTATTGCCGCTTATATATATTTTGCAAACTTATTTTAAATAGCCTACTATACCTAACGGTATCGATATCATAAACAGGGAGCTGCACCCATTTGTATAATAACGTGTCATTACAATCAACATCTACCCTTTGTACGATTACTTCTATGACGAATATGTGGAAATCCCAAGATAATGGATTATCTTTTCTGAAGCTTAGCACAATATTGGAAGATTCAAAAGGATGTGATTCTACTCTGACAAAGCTTTTAGCTTTGTGGGTATACAAAACACAGACATTGCGGTAATTACAAGATATTTCAACTGTCTATCGATTGCTGCTTTATCGAATCGAATAAAGTTGATGAGTATCAATGCCCAATTATGGACAGACTTTATAGTGTAACTAGATAAAAATCATCATTGATAAGGCTCAGTCAGTGAGTTGGTACGTGACTTTAACCTATCTCAGAGTAGGCTTAAAAAGATTTGTATGCGACAAGTATTACACTTATATCGCGATAGTTGGCACAAATTGGTTGAATCATTTTTTTAGAAAATGGCAGTGGGTACTATAATTCCAATCGTTGGTATACTTTGACTAAACATATTCTGTATATAACTTTAGGCTTCAGTGACTTTTTATAATTTTATAGGTGGGCAATCTGTACCTGAAATGGAACCTTATTTCGTTCATGATTATATTTCACATGAAAAATTTTGTCTTCTAATTTGTTACTTAATGCTTTTACAACTAAACAGTTTTAAGAATTATCAAAGTAGTATAGTTTTTGATAGACAGTTAGACATATTCTTTTGTAAACACCCTATCTTATGATCAAATTTTTATATAAACTATAAATATAATATATCTATCTATTCTATCTATCTATCTATATTTATTTCTATACATGTAACAATATATATCATTTCACTTCATCATTGTAAGTTTGCTTGTCGGACTGCACCAACGTTGAATTATTGGTGCAATACCTCAGTGCCCACATAGTACTTCAGTAAGCACAACAGAATGTTTGCAATTTTTTTCATTTTTATGTTGAGGTCATTTAAGGTAGCGTTCTAGACTTTTTGGATATGTTCCAAAGTAATATACTAGTAAAGGGTTCAATATTGCCGGTGTCTGTTTTGGAAAACAGACAAAGTGTTTCACTTATATTCTTTCTGACTCTTTCTTTCGTACACTTAACTCTAAAAATGAAAGTACTTATAATAATTTATCATCTTCTCATATAATACTCATTAACACTTATACTCAAGATAGAAATGATGCAAGTGATTTATGAATCATTCATGAGTATTACGTAGCAGTCGGGTAAAATTGGCTTGCTATAGTTAATGGTGTACATAATTTTCAACTTAAAACAACTCCTAATTTAATGCTCATTAAATATTCAAGAACGCAAATAAAAAACCAGCGTTTATAATGACATTTATACACATTTATACTCGGTTTTTATGAGTGTACTCTGAGTATCAAAATTATAACTATGTGTAGTTCTCTGGTCATTATGACCGTATTTAAATTTAACATACAAATTGATGTTTAGTGATTTTCCTGTTTTTTTACCTTCAGTGGTTTTTTACTTAACTGAAAAACAATGTTTAGTTATAGATAATTTAGATATAAATAGTATAGATAAATATAAATAGTTATGGATAGATATAGTTCAACGCCAACCACAAAATCAGCATTGGACCGATATCTGTAGTTTAATCAATGCATGGAACTCTTTTTTATTAATTGTTTTCAAAACAGAAAGATGTTTTATAAAACCATTGTAACTTAATAATTCATGGTAGGTGTATCCTTAAATTTTGACACATATCTTAAGAAGATTGGTTGTTTTGGAACGGCAAAATGGGCATACTTTGAGAGATATTATCTAAATATATATATAACCCCAAAAATTTTTGGCATTTTTATTTCGTCATATTACAAAAGTAGACATAATATAATGCCAATTTCAAGGTAAATAATTTACATATTATATATATGTATATATAATACATATTTAAAAAAAAAATTGTTTTTTCAATTTCAAACACATGTTTCAATATTGTTTCAGAAAAAGTATTTGTTTATTTTTATATATATGTTGTATATATATATTATATATATATATATATATAATTTTTAAATACTTAAGTGAAGATATTTTTATTAAAATTGTTATTGTTATTTATGTTTAATATTTTTTTCTTTCGGTTGCCTTTTGCTGCACGTTGAATTGCTTATTCACTTAAGAGTGTTCGTTCTATTAATTAATATAAGTATTAAGTATTTTGTTATAGATTAATCCATTGTTTTTATTTAGTTAATATTGTATTATTGTAATTTGATTTTGATAAATTTTACAAAGTATTTATATTGTTTATATATTATTTTAAATTATTTGATTTAGAATTGATATTTTAAAGATTTGTTTATTAAGAAATTTATGAATATATTAATTTTTAAATTGTTTTATTTTAATAAAATGTTGCTCTATGAAGTTTAATAAATATTTATCTTATAATTAATTTTAATGTAAAATATTTCGCATCAAATTTATTTGGTTACAATTATTCGTTACACATATGTTTGTATTTTTAATTATTATTTTTTTATATAATTGAATAAAGTGTTTATTTTAATTTTAATTTTTATTTTAATTTAATTTTAACATCATACTTACTAATATTATTATTTATTATTTATTTTTAAAAAATTTTCGAATAAAAACTAAGATATTAGTTTTTAGTTTTTAAATTACTTTTGTAAAAATTAAAAAAAATTTAAAATTCTTTTGAAATATATATTCTTAACATTATATTCTATTTGTTATATATATATTTATATATATGTATATATACAAAATATGAAAAATATTTCAATAATATATTATAGAATATATAAGTTTCATTATATTTTATTGTATTTATAAAATAATATTTAATTATATATTTTTGATGTATATATTTTGCTAAAGGAATTGTTTTAAATTATTTACTTTTATTTACTTTTAACTCTTGAAATGGAAGGATACGTACTGGGAGACAATCGCCCTTTAACGAACGAGTATTTTTTTATGATTATAATGTCGTTAAGTAAAATTTAAGTTTAATTATTGCAATTAAGGTACTTTACATGCACTAAAAATTAAAAAATATATTATATTGTAATTTATATATCTTAATTTTCTACGCTTCCATTTCTTTTTACAAATCAATTTTGTTCAATAAAATTTTTAATTATATGAGTTATTTATATATTTAAGTAATTAATTCTATTAAAAGGTACCAAATTCATTATCCAATTAATTTTAATTTTCTAATTAAAAACAGGGTTTCTAGCTACAAACGATAACAAATTCATTTACAAAAAATTGCGCTACGAA